GTCTCTCTGTCTTCGGGTCTCTCTGTCTTCGGGTCTCTCTGTCTTCGGGTCTCTCTGTCTCCGGGTCTCTCTCTGTCTCCGGGTCTGTCTCCGGGTCTCTCTCTGTCTCCAGGTCTGTCTCCAGGTCTCCAGGTCCACTGGGTTCAGCTTTTGTCTTCCGTGTTCCTCAGCCTGTGTTTCTCCTGCAGTGTGATCATCATAGACGAAGCCCACGAGCGAACGCTCCACACAGACATCCTGTTCGGCCTCATCAAAGACATCGCCAGGTTCCGACCCGACCTGAAGGTTCTGGTAGCGAGCGCCACGTTGGACACGGAGCGCTTTTCCTGCTTCTTCGATGACGCTCCTGTCTTCAGGATCCCTGGCAGGAGGTTCCCCGTCGACATCTTCTACACTAAAGTGAGTCTCCTCCTGTCGGGGTCGGCCTTCCTTTTCTCAGAGCGTAGACTCGCTCAGACGGACTGCAGGTCTACGAGTTCCAGTCTGCTTAGAACATAAGAATGAAATCCTCTTTCTGTTGGTTCCACCTCTGTCAGCTACAGTGGAAACAAGCGTCTCTGAAACCGAGTCGCTTTGATCGATAGGATCTGATTCCCTGGTTGTTCAGTTCAAAGCAACATCAGTTCCTCCTCATCGTCTCCTATTATCCAGAACCAGGTCTCTAGCCTCAGCAGAGACTCCCAGACTCCTCCAGGCCAGCAGAGAGACACAGTCCCTCCATGGAGTCCTGGTCCTGCTCCTGGTGGGACGTCCCTCTGATAAAGATGTCTGCTCCTCCTCAGCTGACTCCTCTGGAGGAGAAGCAGCTCTACTCTGATCCTCCCCCTGATGACCCAGCTCCTCCCCCTCTCTGTGAGGGAGAGCCCAGCCTCCCTGCAGAGGAAGCTGGGATCCAGGATCTGGTTCTTTGGGTCCTGATCCACATTAATGACCAGAGGTGAGGGGAGGAAGGTAGAGGCTGAATCAGAGCTAAGCTGGTGGAGCGTCATCGGCCCTTTGCTCTTTCCTTCCCTCCATCGTTCAGAAATCCTTCCTTTGGTCGGAGCGCCGAGTCGGAAAATCCATTAATCCGCTTCAACCCTGAAATGTTTTGATCGGTGACTAAAGGCTGAGTTCTGCTTCAATGACCCCCCC